CCAGGAAAACGAACAACAAATTATTTATTTTCTTTTTATTCTCTCCTTTTTTATCTTCCTTTTCCTGTCTTCACTTCTTTCTCTTTTCTCGTTCCTGAACACTACGACCGTCATACTGATGAGGTCCAGTCACAGTGTTAAGACGCATATGACTTAGTGGACCGAAACGTCTTAATACACCATTTTCAAATTCATTCATACTTAGTTCGCCTCACGCCTTCGCTCCCTAAGCTCCTAGGATCAACTTGTACGTTACAATCAGCTTATCACTAAAATTGACTAAAAAACTCTTCAGGAGACCAACAGCTCGATGATCTTAAAAGCACGCGTTACATACCATCATATAAAACTCGCATGCGTAGGTCATTCAGCATTTTTAATCCAGCATTTAAGCATTTTTAAAATTTAACCCAGCATTTTTATAGCGACAATAATAGTAAATTTGCAAAAAAAAAAAGAAAAAACAAGGCTCACAGAGAAATCCGGGACTCTACTCTTCGGTCCTAATGGACGAACACCAGCAAGCGCAACAGAGCTGCTGCATATGCGTGCCACCGAGTTCTGACGAAGTGATGCTACTACTGTAGCAGACAATGCCTTAAAAATCAAGGAAATTTGGCGATGTTTTTTCAAAAATTGAAGAAAAAAAACTTCAGAATATATTTCGTACACTTACCAGAGCCCCACGTATCATTTCGGACTGCCAACTTTATGCAGAGCCACCTGAAACTCACAATTTTAGATGCTAATTTCCTAGAACTATATGGAATGCCACAGCGGTTCGAATTCTAGATTTCCAAAACTTGAATATTCCCCGCCCGAAACTAGGAAGAAAATTGCAGGATTTCGAATGCCTTTTGACTCACGAACGGTCGACAAGCGCCGACCTTTTCATCAGACTCCTTCCCCCTGAAACAACTGCAGCCGGTACCATTCCGCGTACAAACGCAACCATGCTGCTAACTAAACCTCGAAATAACAGAAGGCATGCAATCCAAGGAGTTTATTAAAATAAAACAAAAAAAGGCATGTAAATTGTCGCAAGAGCGTGAGAACTCATGAAAAGACCAGAATCGCAGGCAGCTGGCAGTACACAGACGGGAAAACTTTTGCGAGGAAAACGATAAATCACTATTTTTCATGTATTTTCAGTGACAGGGTTTTTTTTTGCAAACAATCACTCAATC